CTGCCATTGTCACCAAACCCCTGACCGCCCTGTCCTCGGCCACCTAGGGCCCGGCCATTTCGGCCAGGCCCTCGTCCTCCTACTTACGACCTCCCTCCGGCCGCGACAACAGCGTAGGTTCTCCCTTTATCTACACTATTGTCCTCCTCCTCTAGTCCCCACTCAATGTCCGAGTAGGGAATCTCATCAGCACCACCTTCTTCCATCATTAGAATCAGACTGTCTTTGGCCTTAACTTGGCCAGAAATGGTGCATCCCTTCCATGTTTTTCCCTTTGTCAGATCCTTGTGCCAGAACGCGGTAACTGGCAGCGAACGAAACAACCTCCCTACTAAGCACATCATAGGTGATGTCTGGCTGTTGTTTTCGAGTGAAGAAGTGCCCTTGCACACGCTCAGGCAATGCGCGGTAGAAGAGTTGGAGTAAATGTGCGTCAGTGACTCCATGCCCGGGCACAAAAATCAACTCATCCATGGCAGACTTAAGGGCATGCACACTCTTCCACTGCCGTGTGTGGATCATCTGCAACTTGTCGGAGGCTTTAGGCCCCCACGTAACATCTGAGAATCGCTCCCTAAGGGACTTAAAGAACTCAGAAAGGGGGTTGACTCGTGAATACGTGACCATGTCATTGTCACAGTTCGCGGCTCATGCAAGCAACCTTGCAAAGCTGGTCGCCTCTTCTCTGAATGCCTAGAAGGCCACTAGAACATGGTCTTCTGGCGCGACGCCCTGTAGGTATAGATAGGAGTTAAAATTGGCCTCCCAGTTGTCAAAGTCTTCTCCCTTCTTGCCACCGAAGGGCTCTTGACTTTCTCGCGGCGTGGGGCTGCCTCCTCTTCCCGCTCTGCCGCTTCCAAACGTTTAACTCTCTCTTGGGATAAACGCCACCTCCATGCCAACTGTTGTTCCTCCTCCTTCGCTCTTCTGCGCAAAGGGTCCCTTTCTGCCTCCAACTCTCTCCTGATCGCTTCTCTCTCCTCTGGGGGTATCACTAACTCGGCCTCTCTATCTTCCCCCAGCTCGATGTGTGTTACCCATTCTTCAATCTTCTTGTCTACCTCCTCTGAGGAGGTTCCACTCGTACTCGCCTCGCCCGTACTTCTCTCCAGCGGCTCCTCTGCTTTGACTTCTTCTTCTACCTCTGCTTCTATTGCTGCCATCTTCTCCTCCTGCTCCTTTGTCCACCTCTTCATCTCTTCCTCCATCTGCTTCTTCTTCGCCTCCTGTTCCTCTCACAGGGCTACCATCTTCGCCTGCTTAATCAGTTCCCTCTTCTCCATCTTCTCCTTTCTTTCTCTCAGAAGGGCGACAACTTTCTCTTCCTGCTCCCGACTATAGGGGTGGTAGTAACTCCGGACCTCGTGGTCACCATGGTGAGTGCACAATCAGAGACGATTCCGCTCCTCAACACGTAGACCTACCAGTTTGGACTCACGTCTAAAGGACTTCCTATCTGCTACTTGCGTCTGTTCTAGGCTGTCACTGCAGGACTCACTGGCTGATCAGGAGGCATTTAAGGAGATCCCCCATAACTTAAGAATTCTTTAACACCGCAGACAGGACGACGCGATCAGCCGAGTCCTCTCAAGACTTAGACAGCTGGACTCACAGCCCACAACTCGGAGTTCGGGCCTACCATGCCACACTGGCAGAGCGTGGCCAGGTGAACCGATTTTTGGGTACAACATGGAACAATACACCCTCTTATTTTTTTGTCTTTTGTGCATCTGGCGAGGTGCCCCTCTCGGAAACAGAAAAAAAACAACAACGAATGAATTAACCGAAAACAGTACAAGGGGTAATCGGGGAGGCACAGCGACTGGCCACTCAGATGATGCTCGGTCCCTCTGCCACCGGCTGTCCCCTGGCCGGTGTCCCCCCTTGGGGGTTCCCTGAAGGCAATCAAGGGCCAGGGTTGTCAAGCCCCGGCCCCGGCGGGGGTCCCAGGGGCCGGTGGTCGGCACCCCTGGCCCCGGCAAAAAAAATTAAAAAAAAAAAAAAAAAATCAAAAAAAAAAAAA